TGGGCCTTCTTTGGGGCATTTCGGGTGAGTGAACTGGTTAGCGGCAATAGATTTGGCTGTGGAGGTTTGCAAAGTTCGGATGTCGAATTATGGGATGATTGGATGGTGTTACATTTGGAGTGCTCTAAGACTGACGTTTTTGGAAAAGGTTGCTCGGTGGTGCTATTTTCGTTGCCAGGGGTCAATGTTTGCCTGGTGTATTCAGCTTTCACCTTTACGGCAGTACAGGCTAAGGTTCTGGGTTCATTTCTCTCCTCTTTATCTATGTTCCATTTTATCAAGGTCTTTCGGTTGGCTCTGGCGCATATGGGTTTGGTTCCGTCGCAATTTGGGACACACTCTTTTAGGATTTGGGCTGCGACCGAATCTACGCGACTGGGTTTAAAGAAGGCTTTGGTTAAAAAGATCGGTAGGTGGGAATCCGTGCGTTTTAAGACATATGAATTTCCCTAGCTCATTGCCCTGTCGGGGTTTTTTGTTCCTGGTATCCGAGAGTGCGTTTTCTTGTCCTTGTTATTGGTATTCCTCGTATTTGACTGGCTATTCCTGATTATTCTAATCTCTGGTTTCCTTGCCTTTTGTATTTCTGGCTTCCTTGACCTCAGCTTTCCCTTGACCATTCTCTGTCTTTCAACGTATTAATCCGGCCATTCTAAGGAATGGTTTATGTTCTGTCTATTTTTCTATTCTATGTAGATGTTACATAGTTTTGCGTGTTGGATCACATTAGTAGTCTTGACAGAAACAAGTTTCTAGATGGAATATATTTCCATGTGGGTGGTCAAATGATCCATAGACTCATTGTCCTGGTTGTATGGTTGGAAATGTCTACTTCCAAAGAGACTGTAAGTGCATTTGAGCAGGATCCTCATCTACCTATTGTTCCTGTAAAATTTGATAAATGTCTCATTTATTGTTAATTTCCCCCTTTTACAATACTGTAAAGCGTTCCGGAATAAGTTGGCACTATATAAATACCAATAATAATAATAATATGAAATAAGGACAGGTGAGCAGATCTTCAAGAGAGCAAATTGCATCACTGGGGACATCCATAATGGGCTGGCCTGCCCAGGAAATCAGTGTGACCACCTGTCAAGTGTCACAAGATCTATACTCAAACACGCAGGAAATGGGTAACTCAATGGGAGAAACTGAGATAGACGTATTACTGGACCTTAGAATGGCCGGGTTTAACATATAAAACAAAGAGAGACAGAGTCAGACAGATACATAAAAGGTACTAGCCAGGTCAGAGATACAGATAATTTGAATACATAGAACAGGCTGGGTCAGGACCACAGAGGTACTCAACATTCCTAAAAACTAGCCAAAGTCAAAGCCAGACTACTCATAGAAGACTTAAGAATTGCACTAACCAGGAACTAAGGTATAAACCACGATAGGGCACAGAACTATAGTTACAACAGGATTATATAGGACTACTTAGGCTCTGATTGGTCCACGTCTGTGACCCCAAAAAGTGCGGAAATGAGGTAGCCTGTGTAATGCACACAATTCTGAACCAGAAGTGACTTTATGTAAATTTTTAACACTTCAGGATGTGCCCATAGAGCAGACATAATTGCCATACGGAAGCAGGTCGCGCGTCCGACCACCGTACTGGCGTTGTCAATTGGGTAAGTATTGTTCCAGTCAATCACGTTAGGCTGATAGCCTCCTGGCCAGCCTCCACCTTGCAGGACCATACAGAGAGAGCTGCTGGCATGCTCTTCGCATGGTCCTAATGCCCGCTTGCACAACGTGAGTGCGTCCGGTGATACACCCATCCTGTACTTCACAGGAAAAGCTCCCTAGTGACCCCAAATTTGAGAAACAAGGATCTCATACCTTAATTTAATAAGTTTCCCAAAAGATGTAATACTTTTAGAGAAACTATCCAAATGATTCATCTACAAAACCTCCCTTAGACTTTAATGCTGATTTTTGTAGATAACTCAGGTGGAACTTTTTTTTTAATAATACTGAACTACTTGGAAAGCCTTTAAGCCAGATTTGATAGTCGCCAGACACTATTTTCCTTCACTCTTTCTTATTTCAATAGTCTATCCTTTCGATTGTTGCATTGCCCCTAGTGCCCACTTTTCTAATTTGTTTCCCCTTTGTTCTGTCAGTCATTCTCTTCTGCATTTCTGTTAATGCCATTCATGTCAGCTTTTCAAGCCCTCCTTATAAAATACTTCTGAAGGAGAAATGGTTATCTAGATCGAATGAGGATCACACGAATGAAGTCCAGACTAAGTTTCTGGATATGACAAGTCTTACAGCATCACCTTAATAATGTTCGTGATATCACTTTAGCATGTTTCATTCTCTGCAACTGAACTGTAAACACATGAATTCTTCAAGACAATCAACCTTAACACATTGAGATAATTTCTTCACAGTAGGAGAGAAACATGAGAACAAAATTACGTACAAATTCATTAGGTGTACTGGGATGGCTGCAAAAGCAATGTACTCGGGGAGATGCTAAGTTCCAGAAACACCTGGGGTTTGAGTCACTTGGGGCACCAACCCATCCCATTGGTCATCTGGGGTAATGATCCCCTCACAACAGTTTCCTGGGGCATAACCCCGTACCAAGTCATCTCCCCTGTGGCAAAATTAGGGGGAATGGGAAAACGTGCCCTGGGTGTGAGGTGGAGAGGGGAAGCTTGAAGCAGTCCTTGCTTCTTTAACCACTAGACACGAGGGAATGTGCTCCAGCCTGAGCTCTTTTCACATGCCCATTAAGGTAGGACCCAGGAGGCAGGTTTGGTGTCTGTAAATGTGTGTGTGTGTGTGTGTGTGTGTGACTGTGTGTGTGACTGTAACTGTATGTGGCTGTAATTGGGTGCATGACTTTAAGTGATTGTGTGTTTGCCTGTAACTGTATGTGTGTTCTTGTAACTGCCTGTATTGCTGCAACTGTTTACGTGTGTTACTGTAACTGCCTGTGTGGCTGCAACTGTGTCTTTGTACCTGTAAATGTTTGTGACTTTGTGTCCTTGAACAGTGACTGTGACTATGTATGTGACTGTGTGCCTGTGATTATGTGTATGGTGTCTGTGTGTGTGACTGTAACTTGGTGTCAATTGATGGTGGTGTGTGCCACTGTGTGCATGTGTCTGTGTGTGTAACTGTATGGTACATAGTGTATGTGTGTGATTGTGCTCACCTGACTACTTTTTCTTAGACTTAGCTACACCTCTGCCCCTCTCCCTTAGTGACTTAGCTACACCTCTGCCCCTCTCCATTAGTGACATAGCTACGCCTCTGCCCCTCTCCCCTAGTGACATAGCTACACCTCTGCCCCTCTCCCTTAGTGACATAGCTACGCCTCTGCCCCTCTCCCCTAGTGACATAGCTACACCTCTGCCCCTCTCCCTTAGTGACATAGCTATGCCTCTGCCCCTCTCCCTTGGTAACCTGGTGAAGAACTATACTTCATGGTATTTCTTTTTATTATAGGCAGCTGCATTGAGAAACAAATATTACAAATAATTTTAAATAAAATAACATTTTTATCCTCCAGTCCTTTACACTAACTGAAGCTTGTAGCTAAAGAGACCAACATCCAGGGTTCCATCTCCCAAAGCGCCCCCAGCAATGCCTATGCATTCCGCAGAACATCCACTATGAAATGACTGACCATGTAAAATGTTTCCCTATTTAGGATGTGATGTTACTGTATTTTTGTGAAGATGCTAATTAAGTTGTGGCGGACCTGGTATCAATCCCTGGGGTTGCCCAAACCCATATTGAGTCCATACGAACAAACCTGTATCCCCCAGTTCGGGAACAGAATAGAACCTGTGTGGTTCCCCTGTTATTGAATTAGAACACCGACCACTCCTGCCTGTTAACCGCAATTAAGGAGTACTTGAGTGCTTTCCCTGGGTGGCCGCTGTTCGTATAGCCGACCGCACGTGGTTCAGTACTTTGCCATTTTGTCTTCCGAACGCAGGCAGCGGTACTTGATGGTTGAGTGCGTGGAACTAATTTCAGCTACACGTTCTCATGATCCCCGGTCAAGATGGTACTGCTGCTTGTATACTTGAACAGTTCGGAGAACGGCGTTAAGGAGGCAGACACTACCGAACAGGGGGAGCATTCGTATCCTAACAGCCAGAGGATGGGTTCATCAGTGTTCATGTGAGAACCCCTGAAAGATGACCGGTTGTAGCCTTGTTTTCTCTGGAACTGTTTTGGGGCATCACCTTGTGGCCAACCGGTCAAAACTTAATTTGGATGGCATTCCCGAACCAACAAAGGGATCTGAGTGATATTTCAGCAAAGTGTGCACTCAGATCCAAGCTATTCGGTGATATGACTTTCGTGGGGTTCTGGAGTTACTAAGATGTATTTTTGGGGTGTTTTAAATTATTGTAGACTTTTCTGTACCTGAGAGATAATTAATTTATAGATTTTTCTCACACAGTTATCTCTCAGGCACAGAGGATCCTGGGACGAAAAGCCCTGTATTCTTGTATGAGAGACCCCATGTAGGCGTATGTGCATAAAAGCCATGTGTGGCCAAAATAAAATCAGTTGACTCCCAGAACTGTGTGTCGTCCAGTTACTGGGG